AAAAAATGTTTCATCCTCCTATTAAACACCCACAGAAATAGTGGTGGGATTTATTTTCTGCGTGGCACCGAATGTTGCATTTTTATTCATCACAGTTGTTGTTATCACACTGACCCCAATTTGACCCCTTTTATAGTTTAATCAGTGCTCTTTTATAATCACTGCTTAACAGCACCAATTAAATATTAATTTGCAGTTATTAAGCAATTACATGATCACAGATGCATCCACTTGGGAAATAAGGACACTTGGGCCCACTGTAGATATTTCTCATTATTATGCATTATGTGTCAGATTATAAACGCTCCTGATTCCAAAGGGTGTTTTTTTTTTTTTTGGTCTGATAGTGTTCACTGTGTAATTCTGAAAGCTGAATGATTCATATTTTTAGTGTAAAACACAGAGATTGCCATCACAACAGTAGTTTTATGATAGCACGCTGGTCTGTGACTCAAATATTCCTGAGGCTGAAAAAGACTAAAGCTGGAAAAAAAACAACTTTTCCTTTCATTTAATTTTCTTCTTGAGAAATACTAAAAAAAGACAAGTATTCAGAGATGTAGCTGAAAAAGCTGGGATTATGTTCACTAAGCTCCGCCGTTACTGAGCAATACAACCTTTGCAACTGTTGCCATGTGCCATATCAGACAAGTTTGTGCGTTTTTCTAATGTACTGTACATCGAAGGAACTGTGTTTAGATGGAATTTTACAGAAATTATGGCAAATTACAATAAATTGCATTCTGTGGATTACATATGTATTTTATTATTTTTTTATACTCATAGGTAAATCATTTTCTCTTACTTTATGTATACATTTTATAAAAAAAAGAAGTGAATTTTAAGCTTAAAACAAGAAGAAAAAAAAATATATATAAAAAAACATTTTCTCTGAAGTTTTATCTTACACAAATCCTTTTTTTTATTATTAATTTTCTAAACATCTCACTCACGTTTGGCACGGGCCTCCAGCTCTTTCTCCATCAGTTCTTTCTGGGTGGAGAACTCACTCAGGGTGATTTTTGGTGTGGTGTCATTCTGGCCCACCGTACTGATCATCTCCTGCTCTTTCTCATGGTTCACCTCCGCATAGATGTTAATCCAGGGGATTTTTCTGTAGAGCAAGATTTTGTTGGGAAAAACCATCAGCGTTAATGATAATTTTTTTTTAAAAGGTGTAGTGTACACTCTAAAAAATGCTGGGTTAAATTCAACCCAGTGCTGGGCAAAATAGGGACAAACCCAGCAATTGGACTGTTTTGACCCAGCGGTTGGGTTAAATGTTTAACCCAACCTTCTGGGTAGTAACCCAACCGCTGGGTCAAAACAACCCAATTGCTGGGTTTGTCCCTATTTTACCCAGCACTGGGTTGTATTTAACCCAGCATTTTTTAGAGTGTAATTTCTGTGCCACTAGCGGCACCAAACTACACATTTGTAATAATTTTGTGTTAGCAGAAATGTAGAAATCTCAAATCCGATTATCAAAAAAGACAAATGTGGAAAAAAAAATATGATTGATTTTGTGCCTATTTCAGTGGCAAATTGGCGTAACATGCATGACAACACAAGGAGAGGGCTGTGCGCATGAAAACTGGCTAAACTGCAAAACAACAAGTTGTTAAATACGATGTGACTGCAATCACAATCCTTACTGTATTCCTGAAATAATGACAGTGATAATTGCCGAGTATATTTAATAACTTCTGGAAAGGAAGTTGCCCAGGCAATCAGAGGTACCGCGAAGCAAAATACATTCGCCACTTGCCTTGATAACACTGCAGGACAACCTGAAATTAATTATAGAGGTGTTTTTGTAATTCCCCCAAATTTCATGGTGTGCTTTTCCACCACACTGACCACAGTGTAATGTGTTTGCTATTTTCCAAGCTCACTTTATATTTTTATGAATTAAAATGTGTATTTTCTTTTTTTTTTCTTTTTTCAAATTACTATTAATTTTGCGAGCTAATTGCTTTGTTTTTCTAAGTGTAACATTTCCATAAATACACTTCCTTTTTGAAAATGACTACAATGTCAGGGACACATTATATCCATTATTAATGATTGTTTCAACAATTCTCTGAGTCTATTCCATTTGAATTATTTTGAGACCAAATAAATTATTCAAAGCGCTACAAAACAGTTTTCCAGTAGAGGAACCATGGCTGCATATTAAACAATTCATTGATATTTTCCTGCACTTTCAGGAAACAGGAATGGTTTTTTCCATGTTTCTACCATATCCAAACTATTAACTAGATCTTACAACTAGCATGAGTAAAAATAACACTCTCGAAACATCCCATAAACAAAGGAAAGTTGCTCCTGATTCCATCCCATCAAATCTTACTTTATATTTCATCTTTATATAGATGAACAGAAACGAGAACTATGGTGTGCATGAAATGAAGAAATGAAGTTCAATGGCTCGAGTCCTGGTAAAAAAGAATAAGTGATGTAAAAACTGTTTGCATGGATGTACCTCTTAAATTTGTAGATGAGAAATACAGCTAAACCCAAAAACACCACAGACAGAAGCATCAGCATAGCAGAACTGCTGTGCCTCGGGATGGAGTCAACCAGTGGAGCTGTGACAAAGACAAACACAAGTGTTAATGCACACTGGCTCATACTCATATATCTTTTATATCTTCATATACACTGCCATGTTGTGTGGGTAAGATTTTATTTTGTTTGTTGAAAGAAATTAATACTTTTATTCAGCAAGGATGCATTAAATGACCAGTGTAAAAAATGGCGTTTCGTGCAGATCTAAGACCTTTTATCATGAGCGAATTAAAGAACAACTGATATCGAATCATTACAGCACATCTTCTGTGACATAATTTCCACAAAAACCCCTTCAGCTCTCCCAGAGAGATTTCTGGCAATTTTTGGCATTCCTTCAAAATCGTTCATGGGAGCCTTACACCCACTGGCTGTATATTTCTCCCATGTATGTTGTTGAAAGACAGCCCCATGAATCCTCTGACCTTTCCGAACAAATCTTGAACGCTTTCCAGCACTTTGGCAACGAAAACGAAGAAATGGGCCAAGGAGGCGGCCAATGTTTCTCTGTAAAAGTGCATGGGTACTAGCACGACCATGAATCATATATCAGTAATTGCTCTCTAGTAGTCGATGCTATTATCACTGCAAGGAATTAGTAACCATTACCAAGTTATGGCAGACCATGTTAAAGGAGCCAAATAAAATAAATGTGGCATATGGTGGTAAACAAAATGGATAGTACTGAATATAGGGTAAATTAGAGTGAATTCAGTAAAAGCATACAGGAAATCTTTTTATGATATTCTGGTTCCAATTTAAATTATTAATTCATTTGGCCAATGTGTTTATCCCAAAAAACAGTGTTATCAGTATGTGTGTTCCACTGGCATCTTTCCACCACCAATTTCTACCATTTCAGCTACAGGAATTGATTCCACTTCATTTGGCTTCTGAATTAGTCTTTTAGTTCTTATAACAATAGTAAAAACACCTTTTTTTTAATTAAATACCTTGTGTTATGAATGTGAATATTTGAGTAAACATTATCCTGTAAACAACCATGGCGATCAGTATTGAGAAAATCATGAATATTTTGTAAAAAATTATGTATATTTCAAACGTATATTAAAAAAATATATATGTGAAGGCAAAGTTGAATTTTCAGCATCATTACTACAGTCTTCAGTGTCACATGATCCTTCAGAAATCATTCTAATATCTGATATGACACTCTTATTATCAATGTTGAAAACAGTTGTGCTAAGTTAAAAATAACAGTGTTTATTTAAAATAGATATCATTTGTAACATTGTAAATGTCTTTACTGTCACTTTTGATCAATTTAATGCACCCTTACCGCATAAAAGTACTGATTTCTTTAATAAAAGAAACAAGAAAGAAGTGTAGTGTAACTTACAAGTTTGAGACTTGTGATTCATTCTTCTTTTTTAACCAAAAGGCACAAAAAAAAAAAAAAATTTCCAGCGTTTTTGCAACAAGATCTGAATATAAACTGGTTCTTGATTCCCAATCAGACTTATAACACACAAACCTTGTTTAGACTTAGTAGACTATTTACTCTACAAATATCTTATTAAAAAATGGCCAAATCAAAACAATAGACCAGAAAGCCTAATTCTTTTTAGTGGAGCCTGTTTTTTCTTCTTCAAAAATGAGGAGATCTTGCAAGCCATGATTGCTGGAAAGCAATTATCCAAATATCTTCCATAAGGCTTTCAGCATCATTGGTGGAGCATAAAAGCCCAATCTTTCAACAATATCTAGTGCTGACAAGCTTCTGGTCTCAGGAAAGCAATCAACGTAATTACCCAGAAGAATCGAGGGAACGGTATATAGCACCCAACAAAGGCTAGAGAGGGAGATCAACTGAAATACCACTATGTAATGTCACCAAATATAAGCAGTTGCACACTAGAGATGTCAGCTAAATCATGTCAAAATAGCTACATACAGTATGTAGCACAACAGTTTTGTTACCTAAAGTTAATTGCGTGATGTAAACGATGACCCGGGAGCCAGGTTTCAACTCGAACTCCACAGAGATCTGATTCAATGCATTAACCAGGATTTCTGAGATCTGGGAAGAAAACCGCATTCAGAAGTGTTATATGCAGACTTGACTTCTAAATTGCCTGAAGAAAATATGAGTAGTGCTTACAAACATGATATATGGTTTTTGCATGTAGCTATTCATGTTGCTAAGGTGTCCTAGGGTAACTAAAATGAAATGAAATGAAACAATAATACAAATAAAATAAAATGAAACAAAATAAACAAAATAAAATAAAATATATCTCAATTTAAGGTATAATTTATGTCTATATAGCAAAAACCATGCTGCATGTTTGGTAGCATATGACAGCCCATGTACATCCATAAACAGTATTCTGCACTCCTGTTTGTATCAAACACAGATCCTACTTAGACATAACAGTGAAAATTACGCACATTTTAATCTATAATGTCAGACTTTGACAACCCGCAGTGAGACACACATAGCCCATCCCTCGCACCAGACAGGGTGAGTGCCAGTGAATGCCCAAATGATTTGTTATAGCTCTTTCTGCATCTTCAATGACAATAAATTTGGCCAAATAGTGAAATCTGTTGTTATTCTTAAGAGTGTAATTTGCCACTTGTGATTATGCCTGTGAGATACTAAAACATTGAGCTTAATTTTGTGAAATGGGAGTGTCAGTAGTGTGGGCTTGCAATAATTTGGGTTGTGAATCAAAAGAGTTAGGAGTTTAAATACCTAACCCTAAGTATGAGAAACAGGTGTAATGTCTCCACAAGCACTACTATTAAACATTTCACCCTCAAAAAATGTTATAAATTCAAAAGTCCCTACTGTAAAAGACCCTTGTTGTGACACGTCCTTGTCATGTAAGCCTAATTAGACACGGGTCTTTCTGCTATTATCACAGAGATAATAATGCCTTTAAGGTTAAAGAAAAAAAAAGGTCGAAAAAAAGGTAATAGGTAGAAACAATTTTTGACACGTCGTCTCCTTTTGCGGTGACAATTACTTTCATTGTAGCCCCGGGTAGAAGCTGCTCTTTAATTCTAATAAAGGTCCATCATTCTCAAGCGCATTTCAACCTTGACCATTAATGAGAAACCATCAAATTTGCATCAGATCTCATGTCTAACCTGCACCAGATCCTCCTCGGTCTGTTTCCTGCCATCCGATTGGTTCCTGGGAGGAGGAAGCAGGAAGAGTTCGGCGGCAGTCGGAATTCCTGGAAACACGGCCACCAGCAGCTGTTCTTCTGGAATGTCAGCGACCTGGGTGGTGCAAGACAAAATGGTACTAATTACATAAGGCTCAATGATTTATATGTTACCGTCTCCTGCATTTACGAGGGTTACCTTCATTTTAAATGAGGCTGATGGCTTCCAGTAAATCAGATTTGATATATACAGTATGAATCCCGGCCAAGAAATTATTAGACAAGCGTGTGAGTGCAAGCGGTTATACACACATTGAATCCCTAAAAACCTCAATCAATATCTTAGTCAGAGAGCCACTACAAAGCCCAAAGGTCTAGACATTACGGGCTGCCGCAAAGCCAATAAAGGTAAGCCCACCATGTATTCTCCTAGAGATACTCACCAAAGGCCATTTCCCTCATAAAGAGGAAATTATCCGACCTTAGGTAAATAATCTTTGTTTTATTTGGTACTACCACGCAGGGCTCGACTGGTTATAAGACAATAGCTCAGGAATAGACAGCCTAAGCATAATTTACAATGAGCAATGCGGCCAGAGCTGAAGCAGTCTTACGAATCAATACTCTGAGTCTAAGTTTGTACTCACCGCTGCAATATCGGAGAAAGAAAAGCCCTGGGGCTCATTGAAGGATTCAGCCTATGTGCAACTGCTACTGATATTCCTAATGATTAATGCACATCTCCGAACTCCAGCCTTTATTTCTTTCTCAACACTCCAGATTCAACGCACACTCCGTCTGCTAGCGAATAAGGTCCAAAAAAAGACAATTAGACCTAATGTTGCAATGCTCTTAATTACACCCTGCTAATAGCTTAGACAATTAGACAGCAAAAGAGAGACCTAATGTTGCAATGCTCTTAATTACACCCTGCTAATAGCTTAAGAGTCATTGTTGTAATTAAATCGCTTTATGTCAAAACATTCCCTTCCCAGACCGAAGAACTGCAGAATAACATTAAAAGGCACAGATGCAATAATCCATTATAGCAGAGGACAAAGTTGTTATTAAAGAGGTTGTTTAGACATCTGTTGGGTTTTCTGTCATTGTAGTTCATCTTTCCCTATTCAAGTGCTTGGCTGTGTATATTATTGATGCTCTGCTAGAATGCAAATAAAGCCTTACAGGCAAATTTAAACAATTCAACACTTTTTTTTTATGACATGTTCCAGTATTTTTCATTCAGATGTATATTGCTATAAAAAAATCCATTATTGTCATCTTTACAGCGACCATCCATTGAGTAAATGCTTCCTTGGAAGCAAAGTCTTCAATGTGAAAGTTCTTGGGCAGGGCAGGGCTGTGAGTGTTTTTAAAGCACAACACTCACAGATGAACAATTTACTAAGAATTATTACAAAGCGAGACATTTTCACAGCATGGGCTGGGTTTTTGCTGGAGAATGTGCCGAAGTGCACTCTGGTCAGGCTGAGAGTCCATATTAGGTAAATATGTCTGGATGTGGTGCATATGGAAATGCAGTTGATCCAGTAACAGGAAGACACACTCACCTCTATATATAGACTGGAGATGGAAGATGAAAGTGTCTTCCTGTTACTGGAGGAACTGAATTTACATTCGCACCACATCCAGACATAATTTATTTAATATGACACACATATATATACAGTGGGTACGGAAAGTATTCAGACCCCCTTAAATTTTTCACTCTTTGTTATATTGCAGCCATTTCTGTTCAAAAGTTTGGGGTCGGTAAGATTTTTTAAATGTTTTCTCTTATGCTCAGCGAGGATGAAATTATTTTGTTCAGAAATACAGTTAAAATGACCCTTTGTAAAGACCCGCCCCCCTTAGTTACTGTTGCTATGTCCGACAAGTCATGCTTTCACGCCACACATCATGTTCTCACGCAGTGAAAAATATATCACGGAGCAAAGTGGACACTGACAATGTGCTGACAGACAAGACAGAGCAGGTTACTTTTGGTATGAAATAAAGTCTCAGCTTTCAAATTTTGTAATTTTTTTAAGAAATTCAAATAATAAATAACATTTTGTGGCTTTTTAATGTGTTGAGACCGATCACCGTAGCACCTCAGTTCAAGCGGCACGTGAACCGATCATCTCTTCCTCTTTACTAGTTATAGCACAGAATAAACATGAATGAACATCAGAAAGTATCTTGTTTCAATCACTGAAAGACGTCAATAAACACCATTTTTCAAGTTCAAGTCCACCGACTTCAATCTCCTGTCTGGTTTGTTTGTTGGACAAAATGACAGATTTGGCGTTATGATTGGTTAGATCACCTGTCAATCGAACTCGCGGAGAAGGGTGAATTACAGTTATTACAAAGAAGTAAAATGTAATTTATTTCTATGATGGCAAAGCAGAATTTTCAGCATCATTACTCCTTTATCATAAAGTCTTCAGTGTCACATGATCCTTTAAAAATCAGACTAATATGCTGATTTGCTGCTCAAGAAACATTTCTTATTATTATCAATGTTGAAAACTGTTGTGCTGCTTAATATTGTTTATGGAAGGATTCTTGATGAATAGAAATTTAATTAATTTATTTTTTTTAATGAACAGAACAATATTTATTTAAAATACAAACGTTCTGTAACAAAGTCACCTGCACACATCTGAATATTTGGGTTGAAATGTTCTGGAACAGTGTTGTAAATACAACTTAACCACTCCCTCTCTTTTTAATACACTGAGCTGTTTATCAGCGGCAGTATGGATAAAGTGTATCAGCTTCCTCTAGGGCACTACGGGATGTGGTTTAAATGCGAAAGGATAAATGAAGGGAACAGGAAAAAGTGAGTCTCTTTACCGCGAGAGCTCAATATTAAGTTATTAGGCTTTGAACTTGATGTTGAAACAAAGAGGGGAAAACGTTGGAAGAGGGCAGTTTTACATCTGGCGAATTCTGGGTAAAGCCAGGGAATCTGAGGCCAGGAAGCCAGACTGCAGATAATGAGAGAGAAAGAGCACATGTAGAGGACGGAGGTATGTGTGCACTTTACGAGCAGATGTGAGATCAGTAGCCTCTTTGTGCTCAGCTGGTCTGACTTTGTTCTCAGGCAGATTCTAAAGCTCTGTTCTGGATGAGGGCGTTTAGATTGAATTGTGTTATTTAGGGATTACTGTATTTTTGTGTTTTATGTCTGAAATAGAGAGAGAATGTGGCTGGCTTGATGAGCACAGCTTTCCTAATAAAACAGGAAGCTGAAAAATTACTTTAAACCAGACTAAGCTGGTCTTAGCTGGGCTCTTCTATTGGTCTACCGGATGGGTTTTGAGCACTGTGGGCACTATGAGACCAGCTGCCCACACCCCTAAACCAGCAAGACCATCTTAAACCATTTAAAGTCCAACAGACCAGCTTATGCTGTATAAGAAATTTCTACTTGTATTTAGGAAGGATGCGTTAAATTGACCAAAAAGACTTTTCTAATATTACAAAATATTTTTATTTCAAATAATTTCAGTTGTTTTTAATTTTCTGTTCAAATATTAAGAAGCACAAATGTTTTCAACATTGATAATAGGAAGTTTTTTGTTTTTTTTTTGAAAGAAAGAAATGTACACTTTTATTCAGCAAGGTGCATTAAATTGATCAAAAGTGACAGTAAATACTTTTCTAATATTACATTTATTTTTTCCCCAAATAAATCAGTTCTTTTGAATCCTGAAAAAACTGTAATGCCATTAGCACAAAATCAGCATATTAGACTGATTTCTGAAGGATCATGTGACACTGAAGACTGCTGAAAATTCAGCTTTACCATCACGTTGATTTATTTTAAACCTTTTTTATATAAATTATTTCATAATATTTCACAAATGTATTTATTTACGTACTTATTTAATGTAAATAAATGCAGCCTAGTCGAGCATAAGAAACCTTTCAAAAGACTAAAATCTTATTGACCCCACAATTTTGCGTAATAGTTCAAACGATTATTGCATAATTATTTGGGCATAAACAGATTAAGTTATGTCTTAATTAAACACTAATTAGAATGAAACTTTTGGCAATTATTTGGCAACTTCAGCTATCAAGAAGTGTTTTATTTCACCTCTGAACATTCCAAACCTGTCATGCTCTATTATTAAGTTATCACAAATACGTAGCCTATTGAAACTACTGGGATACAATTCTACTTTGAAGGACATTTGATGTTGAGCTGCGATGATCCCAGGGTTGGACTGACAGCTCAGGTACATGTGTATGAGCACAGAGATAGTGTAATGTCAATGTATCGACCAGCAGTGGCTTCAATCTCTCTGTCAGCTCTGAACACAACTGAGAACCACTAGCGCTGTTGTCCATCACACACACACACACACACACACACACACACACACACACACACACTACTGCAGGCCTACATCATCACCCAAACACCTCCCTGGAAGACAATGAATTACTCCCACTGAGTGCAATTTACTGGCTAGTGATTCACTAGTAATTATGCAAATTGATTAATGCTGCCCACAAAATCACACATGTAGAACACATTACTGTGACCTTGTGAGTCAGTTCTGAGAGCTAGGTGAGCACTAGATACACTTTACTACTTCATCACTCCACCACCATGATCCAGACATCTGAATTGGCTCTTCAAAATGTTCTCATCTACATGTCACTTCTGGAAATATGCCCCGTTATAACTGTTGCCATGATCATCTCTTTAAAATGAAGTTTAATTCACAGCCTGCCTTCTGCGGGCAGTAATATTGTGATGTTAATTGTACGAGGAAAATAGGCGCTGAGTTGTGATATCTATAATAAGCCTAATTTACATATAAAGGACGTGTGTTTGGGCTGAAATGAAAAACAATAACTTAATTTAAACACAGAGCAGTGCTATTTCAGTGCATTTATCACCTGGTTAAATGGATTGTGGGTGGTTAGCAAATAAGATGCAGGTTTTTGGGATGCAATGTGACAAAAGTGGTGTAACTGGTTAGGGAATTCTTCCCTTAGTGTGATGAGGAGCTTGATCCCTCCTGAGAGACAAAAGAAAACATTACAAAAATGCCATTTGCTTAAAGGGGTCTTTAATTAGTAATGTGTCTTATATTCCAGTGAAAATATCTAAACATGTGCCACCAATATTTTTTATACTTGTTAACCATTCATCAAAGAAAATATGGTCAAAATCAATTTGTAAATGAAGTAGAAAAAAAAAGAAAAAGAAAAATACAATTAAAAGATCGCTTTCTCTGATATAACGGAAGCTTTAATCTAAACAAAATAATACATTTAATATATAATTATTTAAAATGTAAGTAAAGAGACATTATTATTTCTTGTCTTGTTTTCCAGTGAAAATATCTAAATATGGGCCACCAATATATAATTTATTCCATGTTTTAAGCATATATCAAATAAAATATGCTCAAAAACAATTTGCAAATGAAGAATAATAAATGTAATTTAATTTGTCTTCTTGCTAGACAGATTGCTTTCTCTGATATAACGGAAGCTTTAATCTAAATAAAATAATACATTTAATATATAATTACTTAAAATTTAAGCAAAGAGACATTATTATCTCTTGTCTTGTTTTGTCTTGTTGTCTTGTGAAAATATTAAAATATATGAAACCAAATGTTTTTTTTTTTGTTATAAGAAAATATGGAAAATCAATTTGCCAGTGGGTAAGAAAATAAAATGACTTTACAAATTGTGTTGTTACTAGACAGACTCCTTTCTTTGATGTAAAGGAGGCTTTAATATAAATAGTATAATAACATATTTGATTTAAGTAATTATTTCAAATGTATACAATACAATAATATAGAAGCAAAGTGTAAGGGACAAGGACAAAGGATAGGATGAAGACAACAGGAGATATTTGACCAGGATCTCTAAGGGCTACAGAGACGAGCCAGGAAAAGACAGCGAGTGGCAAGATGGATAGAATAAATTCCCACTCACTTGGAGAACAGCCTTCTTAATTACCCGACCCACATCCTGTCTCCACTCCGGGATGTCAGGGTTGGCCTCGTCCAGATTAGGAGAGAAAGATAAAAGAAGCGATTTGAAGAATTCTGTCACAGAGGAAGAGAGAAGCAGAGACAGACCCTTAATTCTTTCTCTCATAAGATGCCCAACACCTTCTATCTGCTGTGATTTGTTCCAGATGATTTAGTCGAGCTGTAGCAGAGTTATTATTACTGACAGGTATGGAAAGGTTAGCGCTGATCACAAAAATGATTACAGTCTATTTGGCAGTTGCCAGAAGGGAGTTTTTATGACTAGCTTGCAGTGTCAAGAGACAATTTCCTGTAATTCTGAATGCTCTGAAAGCTGCAATAATACATTTAATCAAGGTTAGGGTTATTTATACATACAGTAGATTGTTACCGTAGAGGAAAAAAGTAAAGAGGAAAAAGTAACTTGAAACATAGGCCTTTATGTATGTAACATACATCACTTAAAAAGAAAAGAGCACAAAAAAAAACTATATTTAATGTCTCATTGAAGCATTGATAAAGAGCATAATATACAGTTGTATTGTGAACTGTGGACTTCAAATAATTAAAAATAATTTCTTAACACACATTTCACACACTCATTCGCTAGTTAATCAATTTCTTCTGTGATAACAATGTTAAAAATGGTCATACATGCATCACAGGAGAAGTTTGTCTTTTTTTTCTTTTCTTGTCATCCATATTTCTGCCACATCACAAATCAAGTATTGTGTGAAATTCGGAATTCTGTTGTCAAAATGATGGTAATGAAAGTGACATTTTAAAAATTATTCTAATAAAATGGCTTATGCTAATTTCAGAGATACACAAAATGAACAAATGACAAATACACAAGATTAAATAATACTTCCATCATTTTTCACAAAATAAAAACTGGATTAGAAATAACCCATTTTAAAAAGAAATACACACACACACACATCTATCTATCTATTACTGGAGTATTTAGCAAGCGTGCAAGTTATTTCCTTGGTTTATTTTGTTGATCTTTAATTTTTAGTTAAGGCATGATGGAAATTTTCCAAGATATTTTTTATGTGACTTTGCCAGAAAAAAAGAAAAAAAAGTAGAAATCTAAAGTGCAGAACCTGTCATCAATACTTTGTCATATTTGTCTGAATGTGATCACTCACCTTGTATGGCGATGCTTCTGGTGTCCTGTAGTATAGAGTCCCCTGACGAGACCTGAACAGTGACGGTGACCATGCCCTCGGTGCTGAACGTGTGGGAAACACTGCTGTCCAATGTAATTATGGGCTAGCACCACAAATGTAGTGGATACAAAACAAAAACAATCAAAACACAATCCAACGGCACACAGAAAATCACATTTTTTGTTATTTGTAAGCTCAATGACTTGAAAAGGAAACTCTTTTAAAATGAATAGCACCAACAGCTTTATTGATGTTTCAGGGCAAACAAGCATAAACTAAAGAACACATCTACTGTAAATACCACAAACACGACAAGAACAAGAACTACATTATTAACGGTTCATTGCTCCTGTTCTGTTTATCTTCTACTGTAAAATGTCTCGGAGGCCTTTGCCCAACAAAGCGAGGCAGAAAATCTGTAATTAAGAGCTTGTACCTCCGTGTTGTTCCCCAGCCACCAGAAATAGGTGAGCGTTCTGAAATGAGAAGGCCAGACCACTGCCGTCAAGTTCACCTCCTTATTCTTAATGACCACATATGGAGCCAGCAGCTGAATATGCTCCACAGGACCTGAAACACACACACATAGACAATACAAGAACATCAAACAGGGCAAGGGGTGTGCAAAAACTAAATATTTTGCAAAATCAACTAGCCCGTGGGATGAATAACTAGTCGACTATTTGGTCTTGTATAATTAGGCTGGTTTCGGCTTCACCTTACCCTGATTGGACGCTGTTCAAAAACAGCTAGACGGAAAGCAAGGGAATGGAAACAGAACGCAGGGGTCTTGAGACCTGTTTTTAAAAGTTTGAGTATTTTAACTTGGCACAGCATTTTAAAAAACGCAACACTCACAGTGGGACGCTCAGAAGTCAGTCAGCATGTGTATAGCTGTAGCGGATACATGAATTTAAACAAGTAACTTTTCCAAGAGAGTTTTAATGAGCTAACAGTCTAACACCTAAAGTACAACACGCTAACTGAAGCATTAGCAATAAAAATGTCAAAAAAAAAAAAGAGGATAGAAAGAATATAAACTATTTGGACAACTAGTCAACCATTGTGACCCATACATAGTAAGTATGCACAAAGACATGAACAAATGACCAAATGAACATAGATCATTAAAATTGGTCCTTACTATCATTTCTGTCATCTATCATATATATTCATTCATCTGAGATCTTTCCGCGTTGTTGTGCAATTCTTTGCTTATTTAAATAGTCCAACCAATTTTTATTTTATTAAATAATTCTGCTTCGGTATTTTAATACACATCAGGAAATAAATTTTGGACCTAATTGCTCTCATCTGATCACAAGTGCCCACCCCCTGTTTGTTTGTGAAAAGTGGAGCTAAAAGCAGTAATTAAGCACCGCAGTCTACTACACCTGTGGAGTTGACGGACACATGCAGATTTTGGCAGAGCAACTATGAAAGTCACCTACCTAGAGTATCCTGCACAGTTTGTGTTTAAGAGATGTTTATTCAAATGTTTGCAAACCAGTGCCCAGCCACTTTATTGTCTGTGTGGCTACCAATGTATCTGTATAAATTTGAAGATTATTTAACAGAGTAGACAAGACAGTCAATAGTATTTGTTGTATAATTTGTGTGCTACATAAAGTAGGATACTGAACCATAGTGAAATAATAATTTTTATTGCATTTTTATTTATTATTATATAATTATTATAAACTATTTTTGTCTTAGTCAGAATTACTTGTACTTGTAGTGTACTTCAAATCTTATATATATATATATATATATATATATATACATACATATGACTGTTATTCGATATTGTATTTAAAGTTAATATACTGTAATATGTTAAACTGCAACTACTTTATTACAAATGTGTAATTACAAATATATTGAAATACATGTCATACAAGTTTGTAATGTAAATAGTGTAAGTAATATAAATATAAATGACATTAAGGTATATTTTAGTTAAATGCCTGTCAGTGCAACAAAAGTAATTATGAAATTACATAAAGATATACTTAAGTTAACAAGTTATTCTTAAGTAGGTTAAAAAAGCAATATAAAAGTTCAGTGAACTGCATGTAATATAAATATAATACATTTTCATTTAACTGCAATTGACAATTCAATGAAATGAATAAAACCAATTAAGTTTCTGAAAACATTACATTTAGTTCACACTTTAGTATATTCTTTTAAAGCATATTATTTACGTAATAAATACTCTTTCTGAAAAGTGTCTTTTGAAAAATTATTTTTCACATATCTACCAACATTTACTGAAGTTTAAGCTTGAACTAATTGACTAATGGGTAACACTTTATTTTAAGGTGTCCTTGTTACACGTTACATGTACTTACTATTATAATAACAATTAATTATGCATAATTACATGCAAGTAACCCTAAGCCAAACCAAAATCCTAACCCTAACCATATAGTAAGTACATGTAGTTAGTTAATATTACTCAGTACTTATATGTATAATTACACCGTAACAAGGACACCTTAAAATAAAGTGTAACCGACTAATGAATTAGGAAAAATAAACCTAATTCAAAATATATTTTCTGACAAACAAGTCTTATTATCTTATACAGTGCTATACACAAATACATTCATCAAAGATGTTTAGATATTTTTACTAAAAGTTAAGACAAAAATTCTACAATGTTATAATATAATGTAACCTCAGCAAAATGGAGAATGTAATATAATGCACCTGAAATAACTTTCCAACTTCATGACCAAAAATAAACACTGAAGTAGTAACTCATTTGTGTGTATATGTGTGAAACCTACATGTCACATGCAGGTAGAGGGATGATGAGTCGAACCCGAGGCTGTTCTCCGCCTGCACTGTTACTCTGAAGATCCCAGCACTGCGGTACACGTGCCTGATGCCCTCCTGCGTCCAGCTCAGGTTGGAGTAGGACACGGCCGTACCGTCTCCAAAATCCAGCTGAATGTTTGTCCTCATAGAGTCGCCCTAAAAACAACACGCAGAGTCAAGTCTAATTATTACAACAACTCTTTAGCACACTTTCCTTAATCACTGAGTCTGGCAGCTGCGACCAAAAACAGCTGCAGGTAACGTCATCATTCTGCTTACACAGACACCGTCCCATCTGTTTTCAGACACAAAGCATTGTTTTCAGCCCATGAGTTCATTCCTGCCGTAACTTTGCTTCATATGTGAAATCAGACACAGAAGCCGCTTATTTACAGAGAAAACAGTCAAATGAATTACCTCTCAGAATGTATTTCAACTTCCTGTGTGAACCCGTCATATTACTTTTGATATATAATATATATTTTATACTCTATATAGTGTGTTGGTTTGACTTATTCATCCTGATGGGTCAATTGCAATCCACCGCAATCATAATTGCTGTTTATGAGATACGATATTGCATGGGGAATGTAACTGTAAATATGAGTCATATGGCCCTGAGTGAGTCTGCTGTAAAGTATTCTGTCCTTTTTGTAAGCTAAAAGAACTTCATAATTATTTTTTTTTTCCAGTTTAATATGTGGGTGGGATTACATGGAGGAAATAATGAATCCTCAATAAATTAAATTTCTTATTTCTATTAGATCCAATCCAAACAGTAATAACAGTTTGCCAGATATAGACTTTTGACTATTGGGATAAATCGTGCAATATAATTGACATATAAGATATTAGCATATTATATTACTATTATATATACAGTGGGTACGGAAAGTATTCAGACCCCCTTAAATTTTTCACTCTTTGTTATAGCTGTCTTAATTTAATTGCTCTCAAATGTTAAACTGTAGAGCTTCATTATGCAAAAATGCATCATTGTCCCCCTCTGAATCACAATTTAAGTCAGAAAATATGGAAATCAAATTCCAATAGTACACAAATGAAAGGCCCAATAGCAATCCACAGATATTTGGGCTTATAAGCCTTGCATATCTTCTGACACTTGAACCGCCACTGGTGCAACGCCTGAAACATCTGCCCCAAAACCAACCATTAGCACTAGTTATAAATATAAAACTGCTAAACCAGCCAGTTAAAAACATCAAAAACAGAGAAAAGAAAGAAGAGGATAAGGAAGTTGAGATTAGGTTGAGTCCATGCCTTGAACCATCACAAAACACTGTCCTTCAGGCTCTACATCTGGCTATGGGCGCAAGAGAAGCGTACTGTATGTGTGTGTGTGTTTGTGTGCGCGAAATTCCCAAATCCGTGCTTATGCATCCCCAAATCCCCCTCCTTTCTCTCTTTCCGCCATTAACACATTGTAGCCTAATGCTATTGGGATATTAATTTGTAACACTGCATTAGCAGCACATGAAGGAAGGGGGTGGGTGTTTCTGCCCTGCATAGTGACAAATCCAAAGCTGGTTTAGTCCTGTCTGTTTGCTTTTAGGCACTGCTGACTGTGAAAAGCGGTCCGCCTCTGTGCGTTTCTGCGCAAGCATGTGCACCGGGTTGCTTTTAAGATATTTCACGCCACTTTGTGCAGAAAGTCATAACTACACTGTGGGAGGAGGAAGGAAAAGATGACTGACAGGAGGAAAAGTTTGTATAATGACGGTCAGGACACAATTTGTGCTGAGCTCATGAGGTTCAGACAAAGCCCTTTTTGAGGGAAGTCAGTTCACGCAGTTTAGCTGCTGCCATTTTGGAAATGCCCCTCAGCAATGCCCCCCTAGGGAACTACTTCACTGCATGAATGAATGAATGAATGAATAATGATTTTCATTAGCATTTTTATCTGCTTGTCCAGTAAAAATATCAACACATGATTAATACATTGCACATTTAAGAAGCAAAATAGTGTAAGATAGTAAAACTTAAAATGATTAGAATACAATAATACAATACAGTTCAAAAGTTTAAGGTCAATAGTTTGTTTTGTTTTTTTTCTGGAGAGAAATTAATACTTTTATTCAGCAAAGATGCATTAAATTGATCAAAAGTGCGAGTAAAGACATTTAGTGTTACAAAAGATTTCTATTTCAAATATATTTTGTTCTTTTGAACATTCTATTAAAAAAAGGGATTCCACAGAGAGAGAGAGAGAGAGAGAGAGAGAGAGATAGAGATAGATAGATAGATAGAAAGATAGATATATAGATAGACTGATTCTATGTTTTCCAACCTGAAAACCTTGAGCTGCATTCCCTGTTTCAAAAAAAAAATACTGTGTTGCACCTTAAAGGCATTAAATATTAAGGTCCATTTGATTTGCCTAAGAAACAGCCCGGCTCTGACCCTCATGAATATAAATAGATGGAATTCTTAGCCCATCTATCTCTCTCTCTCTCTCTCTCTTAATGAAAGGAATAAGCCCTCATTTTCTCATCTCATCATACTGTAATGTGACAACTCTGCTGTGGTGAGACGCCTAGGGAGAAACACTTTACCTGGAATGAGCATGTGTGAGCATGTGTGTGTGTGTGTGTGTGTGTGTGTGTGAGAGAGAGAGAAAGAAACCAAGAGAGAATATGTGTGACCATGTGTGCATTGCACCTCAATGAAAAGCTATTCCCCAGTAGGCTTGTAATATGTATCCGGCTTGCACCATACCATCTGTACAGAGTGAAGACTTTTCATCTGCCAGAGCTCCAGCACAGCTCGGAGCAGAGGACAACAAATTATGGAAAGATTCTAGAATGTCAAAATGACCTGTGTGGGTGTAAATGGTCACATATAGAGCTCAATGATAGTCTCACTTAGCCAGACTGGTCTGAAAGTCTGGTCCACCAACAACAGCTCACTTAGACCCGAAAAAAAAAAAAAAATCTGACCATCATGTAAAGTAACCACTCATGGTTATAGATGAGTCAAGTTTTCTATCAGTTGACAAGTAAAAAGCACATACTATTTTCAACTGCAAATCCAATGAATACTTTGTCTATATCAGTGCTTTTCAAATGGTGATTTGCAATCTAAAATAGGCTGCAGATCTGTTACAACAGGGTTGAGAATAGCAGATAAAAAACAATGCTAAATGCAAACGACAAAATTAATCTAAAAATATAAACATGCCTTGGTAGGAAATCAAAATAAAAAAGTGCATCAAATTCTAAGGCAAGGCACTATAGGTAAACCAGATATTTATTTTATTTTATTTTATTTTATTTTATTTTATACACTGGTCAATCTTGAGATTTTGAGCTGTTTGGCTTTTCATAATGTGTTGTTTCAGACTAGTGGAAAAAACATCGAAATTACACTTTATGTACTTGTGTCTGCAGATTTCAGATACAATACATATCTTTAAAGGACCGCCCCCTCCTCAATTAATTTTTCTCTCATGCACGGAGCAAGAACTCTCCACTCCAGTAGCACTTACCAAACTTTATTCTTGTATAATATTCAGAAGGTTTTTACAGATGGGGTTTGTTCATGTGTACACACACACAGTTGTGGTCAAAATTTTACATACACTTTGCAGTATCTGCTGTATTATGGGATCATACAAAATGCATGCTATTTTTTATGTAGTACTGACCTGAATAAGATATTTCACATAAAAGACGTTTGCATATAGTCCACAAGAGAAAATAATAGTTGAATTTATAAAAATGACCAAGTTCAAAAGTTTACAAAGTTTACATGCGCTTGAACCATAAAACTGTGTTGTTACCTGGATGATCCACAGCTGTTTTTTTGTTTGTTTGTTTGTTTTGTTTTTTGTGATAGTTGTTCATGAGACCCTTGTTTGTCCTGAACAATTAGAAAACAGTTAAAAAACTTCAGGTCCCACAAATTATTTGGTTTTCCAGCATCTTTCGGGTATTTGAACCCTTTCAGACAATGACTGTATGATTTGGAGATCCATCTTTTCACACTGAGGTCAACTGAGGGACTCATACGCAACTATAACAAAAGGTTTAAACGCTCACTGATGTATATATATAACAAGAATTTTGCACCTGACTATAGCCAACGTTAAGATTTCTGGAGATTAGTGCAAATTGAAAATAATGCATCATTTGCATTCCGAAAACTTGGAATACAAAAATGTTTGTCCTTCTTAATGTAATCAGGGAAGAATGGTGATTAGTATTTATAGCTATTATCTATTATTATACATTAGTACCTATTCACTTGGGTGTCTTGCCTTAAAATAGAGAAAATGCCTCTCATATATTTTGTTAGTAATGCCAAAGTCTGTGTGTCTACCCAGGTGAAAAAGACGTAGTATTAAATGTATTAAAAATATACTTGAAATTCAAGTATGTTTATAATACATTTGTATTCCCAACATGCTTATTTTGAAGTGCAATAAAAATATATTGAATTGCATTTTAATATATTTCTAAAAAGTATACTAGAAATACTTTTGTATTAAATATATGCTTAGTTATACTTCTAAGAAATATGCTAAACAGAAGCATACTTTTAATGTATTTATAAAAAGTATACTAGAAATACTTTGGTAATAAATATATGCTTAGTTACACTTTTAAGGAATATGCTAAACACAAGCACACTATTTAATTAAAGCTTTATTATATTTAATAATAATTATAACTTTATTTATTTACTTTATAATACTTTTTTATATTAATTGTACAAAAAATATAATTCTGCACATTGCTGGGCCAACAAGAATATAGGAATATAAAAATAAAAAAAACTGTAAAACACTGTCATTTTAACATTTATAAGAACTAAAAAAAAAAAAATAAATACAAAAATTAGATACTGTTTTTGCCACTTTATGTCTGATATAAATCTGAGTCCTGAAGCAAAACTAATTGAGAACCACTGCTTTGGCTGACAGAAATAATAATTTAATCTGCTACATGGACATCCTGATATCTGATTGTTGATAATCTGCTCACATGGAGTTAGCACATCAATTTAATAATTATTACTGTATAATTTAGGTCTTGACTCAATACCAGGCTCATAATTATAGCTTCTGGCCATGCAGCATTTTAAATGATCAGATCAATGAAACTGATAATTTGACTATCATTTTCCATTAGCTGAGTTCATCAGATTCAGATGACCATCATCATGATCTTACCTCCTCTAGCCGCACCAGGAAGGTCACATTGCTGCCCATGTTGGCTGTGAGTTTGTCATCACGGGTTGTCAGGACTAAACCACGTGGGGGGCGGTTCGGACACTGCTGTTTCCTGGCTGTGTACATCTCCTTCACTCCTTTTGTGCAGTTATTCGCAACCACTTTACGATACCTGAAAAACACAACAAAATCAAAAACTAGTTTGAAATGTGTCTCTCTTTTGAGATTTGATGGTTTGACATTATCTAACTCAGTGACACTCACATCGTGACTCAGTGTCTGAATACTTATGGGTCATTGTATTTATCCATTTGAATACAACATGCCTGACAGATCCATTCTGAGCAGCTCTGGTTTTTTGTCGGAGGATTAATTGGTTTTGACCACAATTTATGTGGCAGCTCTGACACAATCTCTGAAAATGATAATCACATTCTTTCTCTGTCTCTTTCCTTGTCTGTAATTTCGCACTCTTGCTCTGAATGGATATGCTTTCTGACTGATGTTGGTTTTAAATTAGGTTTAAATGAAGTCTTTCCATTACACAGTGTTATCTGTCCAGCTAGGTCTCTTTGTATGGATTGTCTGTCTAGAACGTTGTCGTAAAGACGGACACCACAATCTCCAGAAAGTTTAAAAACCTGCTCACGTCAATATGGCTTGTCCCTGCTCATCAGCACAATAAGTTTAAATCATGGCTCACTTAATTAAAAATAACCACTTTCCTAAAACAAGATTGGTTTAGTGCTAGTCTGATTGAAATTGCTTTACAAAAAATGCTCTTCACTTTATCCCAGTGATCACAGGAGAAATATATGATTATTTGGATGTGGAATATACTGTAAGTTAGCTATTGTTTTTTATATATAATATAATATTATTACTATTTATATACAGTATATACAGTGCCTTGTGCCTATATATATATATATATATATATATGCAATGTACAAAAA